ACAGGAAGGGAAAGAAAAATATGTGTGGCAAAATAAAGCAAATGATAGTAGCATACATAGACTTCTTGTCTTGTGTTCTCAATTTCACCAGCATAATTTAATTCATAATTTCAATTAACTATAGCTGAGCATGCTGCAGACTCAGAGAGAAATGTCTACCTGAATGTCCTCCTGTAATGTTTCCTTTGACTCATCTCTAGTAACAAAAAATTCAAGATTATGTAAAACAAGGTTACTGTTATTAGACAATAAAAATTCCGCTGCCTTCAAATCATAAAATGTTATTTCTGTTCTCAGCTCAACTCCTGATATGTGTGTATGTGATTTTGGCCAAATTTTCTCATATCTCTTTGGGTTTTCTCATTGTATATTTGACGATATGAAAAGACAATATTTTCACAAATTTAGCTAAATTATCTAATTGGCTTTTATCTGTGATTCAAAAATCAGGAAATATCTCATCCAAGACTAGAGAGTTGCTATGCTGGGAATGGCACAAGAGCCAGTTTTTTTAAGGTTACTTGAACAGGTATAAAGAAATAGAATAATACAACAAGCTAATTGGTTAACATCAGGGTATTCTTCTTGCAAGGATGAAAGCATAGAGGACTTCCTTACCATGCTGGCTAAAGCCAGCCTGTTTTGGCATTTGGCTATTATCTATCTTTTCAGATTTTTTACAAAGTAAACAATGTTATTAAAAGTTCAGCCATGCAGAACTTCAGCATAAATGGCTGCATTTTGATTTAGTCTGGTGGAACTCAGTCCAAATAAAGGGCATCCTTCCAATTTCATTAAACAGAATTCTTTTTAACATTTATCTCATATTTCTATATTTTAGGACTTTATTTTCTAACCTTGATATTAATCTGAGGTTTCCTTAAAATGGCTGAGAACAAACACCTATTATATATTAAAATTTTATAATTCTAACCTTTCTAACTTTTAGGGTCACACATGTCCTTGTTTTATAGGGGAGGCTTAAGTTCATTATTTTATGACTTGAAAAAATCAGAAAGAAATTATCTTTGTGGGAGATAGGCAGAAAATATAGAGACAACTGAAAGAGGAGGACAACATAATCACAATGGCAAAAGAGATTAGTTGATTAGTTTTTTAATCCAATCTTTTAAATTCAATCATGTATTCATTCACGTATTCCTTAATCCCAGCCACTTGGAATTCCTTTGTGAGTCCCTTACCTCAGCTGTAATGTATTTCCAAAGATATTTGGGAAACACCCACAGGAAACACTACATTACCCTAATCTTATTAATAAAAACAATCACGTTAACAGGAAGGAAGAAGCTTGCAAGAGTCAAAAAGGATGATCAAGACAAATTTCTGTGTTTTTGTTTTTGTTTTTTTGTAGCATTGTACATGGAGGCTACACATGGTTTCTAGAGAGCTGGAGTCATTCAGGGAAGCTGCTTACATCAAGAGTGGTCTGGAGGAATTCTAGTAAAGACTTCAGGGTTTGCAACTCACATCTTCATCAGCATACAGGGTAAATATTCACAGAACATGGTTCATGGATTTCTGATTCTCAACAGGTAAGAAAGATGCTGTCAAAGAACACTTCCTACAGGATAATATTGAATGATGTATCCTTACATGCAACTGGAAAAGCAGGAATAAAAGTGAAGTATACAGATGAGAAAGCAGTATCATCTGCTTTTGTTGCAGTGACGGTACTAGCTCCAGCTTACCAAACTGTTAGTGGGCCATATATTGACATTACTCGGTGAGGAGCTTTAGAACTAACTAGTCATGATACTCTTGGAGCACAGGGACTGTAGAAAAGATAACTTGGACTGGAGGAGCTACCCCATTGCTGGTGACTTACACAGTGCACTGTCTAGACACCACTGATGAGCAGAGAACGCTAGCAGCCAGTAACTAGGTTGTGGTACCAGCTGTCATGGAAAATGTGCCATCATACCAGATTGGCATCCTCTATCAGCATCGTGCCTGGAGCTGGTAGGGCATCTTTGCTAGATCCAACTGCTCAGCTTTTCAAAAGGCAGTGGAGAAGAGAGAGAGGTTGGCCCCCCAAAAAAACAGTGAAGCACCGTGAGAATATTAAAGAAAGTAAAAGGGAAATGGGAACATTTTTGAAAAGGGACTGCAGAATTTAGAAAAGCAAACAACTGTTTTTTTTTTTACAGCTCTTTTATTAAAGACATAAATGTGCCAAAGAGGTTTGTCATTGCCACAAATAAAATAATGTTTCCACTTATTTATTTATTTTTTTGTTTATGTGTATGGCAAGTTTCATGACATTTGCTCTATTGAAAGAGTTATTTGTTCTGAAGAAAAGCAGCAGCAATATGTCAGAATAGTACTGAAAAGGAAGTATACCATAAGGAAGAGTTTAGGCTATGATAGGAGCTTCAGTTGAATGCTGAGTTGTAGAAACTGGCCAGGTAGTGAGTGATGTGCAAGACGTTCCATAGGCAAAAAGAGGCCACAGCTAAGAGACTAAAGTAATATCAATGGAAAGGAGCCTGGACTGTGAGTAAAGGATACAAGTAACAGAGAGAGATTGAAGCAAAAACAGTATAAAGAACATCTCTAGCCAAATATTTCTGGTATTACCTTCTTATCCCTCAAGAATACTTATCTAGGCTGGGCGTGGTGGCTCACACCTATAATCCCAGCACTGTGGAGGCTGAGGCAGGCAGATCACCTGATGTCAGGAGCTCAAGACCAGCCTGGCCAAAATGGTGAAAACCTGTCTCTACTAAAAATACAAAAATTAGCCAGTTGTGGTGGTGAGTGCCTGTAATCCCAGCTACTCGGGAGGCTGAGGCAGGAGAATTGCTTGAATCTGTATGGCAGAGATTCCAGTGAGCTGAGATTGCACCAGGGCACTCCAACTTGGGCAACAGAGCAAGACTCAATTTCTAAAAACAAGAACAAGAACAAAACAAAACAAAAAAACTTATCTGATGTGTTCCCATCTTCTCCAAGCCACAGTGTCTGAGGTGTGGACTCCTGACTGGATTCTAAGCATTTGGCTGAATAGCTGGGACTGCTCTTCCTCTGTTTTGCTCTATGTCTTTGTTTCTCTGCTATGATATCAATTGTGGTTGTCAGTTTGAGTGCAACCTTTCATGCTTGACCTGGGTGACACTTGGTGGTATGTGTGAAGCTGACCCTCATCAGAACAGGGAATCAGACTTAGTTCATCAGAATATGAAGTTTTCAGAGGAAAGAACTATGGTTAACCTAGTCCCATAAAATTTGAGAATCGGTTGATGATTCTACCGAAAAGGAAACACGCCTAAAATTTCACATGGAATTGTCTTCATTGAGTAAAATTTCTTGCCATATTTAGTTTAGAAGCTGCACATATGTGTAGGTGACAATGAAGTAATGGTAACAGTAACAACAACCTGACAGTGTTCCTAGACACAGAAACCAGCATTTTCCCTTTGTGGAAAGAGAAGAGAGGGCCAAGCACCATCTAATGAGAGATGAGCAGCAAGATTTGAAATGGTTACAGGGAAATAGATAACTAGCAATAGACAATCACTTTTAATTGAATTTATTTACCAACCCCCCTATTTGGTGAGGTGTACTTTGTATGCAAGATCTTGTTTTGTGATTCTTTTTCTTTTTTTTTTTTTTTTTTTGAGATAGAGTTTCACTCTTGTTACCAAGGCTGGAGTGCAATGGCGCGATCTCGGCTCACCACAACCTCCGCCTCCTGGGTTCGGGCAATTCTCCTGCCTCAGCCTCCTGAGTAGCTGGGATTACAGGCACGCGCCACCATGCCCAGCTAATTTTTTGTGTTTTTAGTAGAGACGGGGTTTCACCATGTTGACCGGGATGGTCTCGATCTCTTGATCTCGTGATCCACCCGCCTCGGCCTCCCAAAGTGCTGGGATTACAGGCTTGAGCCACCGCACCCTGCTGTTTTGTGATTCTTATTGTTGAAATCAAAGAAAGTGAATTATTTTGTGTCTGAATTTATGAGAACTCGAGCAGTTACAGCTAACTTAAGTTTGTAAAAATATCCAGAACCTGAACGGACTGTGTTAAAGCAGGAGGTCATATTAGAGAGGTCACCAGGCTCTGTATACAATCTGGATAGATGTTTTTGAGCCAAATCTTGTATTTCTTAAAAAGCAGAGTGGCCTCAATTAGCATCAGAGGATCTGAACATATCTGCTCTGCTTTTTGTTCTGTGTGAGATCTTGTGGAGTGAAGTGGAACAAGGAACAGAGAAAGAAGAGCACATCCATGAGCAGCCATGATAAGTAGCAGGCCTGATACCAGTGCTCTGTGTTCAGGGCACAGGGCTGGTTCTTAAGAACAAAATACTAGCTGATACTGTGTCATAATTTGCAAAAAGAAGACCAATATACAAAGAAAGAGCCTTTTTTACTAAGCATTAGACGTTATGACATAAAGAAAACATTTTTTCTAGGAATGATGAGACAGAAGCTCATCACCAAAATTACTCATGCAGGGAATATTGACATAATAACCAACGAATTCATCTTCTATCTGTTGGAAAGCGTTTTCTTAGGACTTTTTAATTTTATTAGGACTAGCACCAGAAATAAAGCAAAAACATCTGGATGAGACTGAATAAAAATTCCTTTCAAGGCCAAGTATAGAGCCTTATGCCTTTAATCCCAGTGCTTTAGGAGGCCAAGGCAGGAGGAAGGCTTGATCCAGGAGTTCAAGTTCAGCCTGGACAACATTGAGATAATCTATTTCTATAAAAATAATTTTTAAAAAATGCCAGGCATGGTGGTGCACATCTGTGGATCCAGTTACTTGGGAAGCTGAGGTAGGAGGATCATTTGAGCCTCAGAGTTTGAAGCTGCAGTGAGCCAGGACTGTTTCAGTGCACTCCATTCTGGGCAACAGAGCTAGAGGTTTTCTCTGAACAAACAAAGGTATTTTATTTCATCACAGTATTTTATTTGCATCTATTTGCATATGCACATATATGTGTGTGTTGTGGTGTATTTTAGAGTGGAAGACAAGCTGTAAGTCACTAGATGGATGACAATTTGAACTTTCCTCCACAAACTGTAGCATGTGTAAGAACTATACACAGGGTTTGCTATTATAGATATTCCTAAACCCAACTATATCACACTAATTGAGACTACAAACATCTAAATAATTATTTATGTGAGTTATATAAGAGATGCCTGCCTGAGAGTATATTCTTATAGAGACAATGGTTTTTTTCAATACCATAAAATATAAAGAAAAAGATGATAATTTTAAAAAGTTATATCATGAAATTATTGCCATTAAAATCTCCAGGAGTTTAGTCCTACTGATATTTCCTCTACATGTTTTTGTCTATATCCATATTTGTACATAATATTTTTACTTTTTGAAAATAAGTAATATTTATTTATTGTACTTTAAAGCTAAAAATGTATTTTTAAAATGTACTTTAAAGCTAAAAATCCTAAATTAATAAAATGTACATTTTTTAAATAATATCTTGTGATTTGGTATGTTTGGTTCATTACTAGTTGGTAACTTTAGATATAAAGTTTTTAAATGGCATAATCCTGTTTTATAAATTATGAAGCCTGACATTGTCGAACCCTAATTTGATTAATTCACAATTTACATGTATATCAAAATATTATAGTGTACCTTATAAATATGTGCCATTTTTATGTATTGATGAAACAAAAATTTTTAAATTAGTTGTTCAAATAAGTTATCATTTAAAGGTATCCTTTCAATTAGTTTGAATTTAATCAAAATTCTTTAAATAAATAATCTGAATTTTCTTCTGCACAGTACCTATTTAATTTCCCTAAGTTTAAAATTAGATTAGCCAGAGATGCCAAGACATTGAGCCTCTACTTCTCTTTTTCCAAAACCATCCACCATCATTATTAGCATTTTGATCTTCAAATCTAAAGGCTGGTAGAAATATATCCGTTCTGAAGGCATTTACATGTCCACGAGGAAGGCAAGATGGTAGCAGATCCTAGATTTCAGTGAGGAAAGGGCAGAAATTATTAAAGAATGGAATTTTACATGATATTCTAATATCATATAAAAAAACTGTCAGATGTAGGAACAGAAATGAAAGTAGACTTGTCACCCCAGAAAATCAAACATGAATTTGCCACATAGGAGTTGTTTAAAAATCAATGACAATATAAACCGGCACAAGAGGGTTTTTGTAGTGGGTTATTTACAGAGATTAGAAATGGAGTTAATTTAATCAATGATGGAAAGGTAAATCCTTTCATTGGTACTCTGTGCTGCAGAAACCTAATCAGAAAACCTAATCTGTGCTTTCAAATCCTATAAAACCTTGGCATCCAAAAAGCAAGGCTTGTCATTTTTAGAGTGTTTGGAGTTTGCTAGACTGTGGAAACCTCAGAAAAAGAAACATCTGTCATCCAGAAAGCCCAGAGGATGCTAAACTCTTGATCCAGATGCATGAATTTTCCTGCATCTACTGTTCAGACCAGTTGTAGAATATTCAGGTAAGTATTTCCTTTACATTTTGTTTCTTCCTTATACAAATTGTGAATTTCTGGAGGGAAGGTCCTAGATATTATACCGTTTTATCTGTAGCATGATATCTAGAATTTAATTGGAAACCTTTTTTGTAGAATACGAAAAGTGCTAAGTTGTCTGTAACTTCAGCTTGCATGAAGCTTTGCTTGTCTGCAAAGTTTTTACAGTGCTGAAAGGCATTTTTTTATTTTCCTAATATTCCATTAAAGTTTTTATTTCTGTAACGATATTTTTAATTTACAAAATCCATTTCGTTGTTTGAATATTCTTTCCAAAGCTTCTATTTTTTAAATATTTTTATTCTATAAAATAGAATAAACCTGTATGTGTGACTTTGTGATGCTACTATATAAATGTTTATATTTTATGTCACAGAAATTAAAAAAAAAAGAATTCTTAGAGCTTCACAAAGTCACAGGATTCCATATTGTGGTTAAGATCAAAACTTACTCTCAAATGGTTCAATGATAAAAAGATGGATGTCTTAAACTTCAAGGTATTTTGTAAGTGATGATGATAAAAAGTAAAAAATAAATAAATATAAGATGTATTCTAACACAGAAAAGGAGGAAGTTGCAGAAGATTAACAGGGTCAGTGTTTTTGAGACAAAGTCTCCCACTGTTGCCCAGTCTGAAGTGCAGTGATAGAATCAAGGCTCCGTGTAGTCTTGACCTCCTGGGCTAAAGCCATCCTCTCAGCTCAGCCTCCCGAGCAGCTGTAACTAAAGAAACCAGATCTGTGGGCCTGGATAATTTTTTTTTCTAGAAATGGGGTCTCTTCGTGTTGCCCAGGCTGGTCTTGAACTCCTGAGCTCAAGCAATCTTCCTGCTTCAGCCTCCCAAAGTGTTGAAATTACAGACGTGAGCCACTGGGCCTGGCCCTATATAAAATTTTAGTTTTCCTAGTGTGTTTGTTTGTTTGTTTCTTTCTTTCTTTTTTAAGAGACAGGGTGTCTTGGGCTTGTCCTATTGTATCTTTAACTTCTCATCTGCAACTTTAGCCATGGATACTTGGGCTGTACTGAGAAAATGGCCATACTCAGGGCACTAGAAAATGAAAGCTCTTTCCCTTTAGGCATTTCTCCTCCACTTTAACTTTTCACTCTGTCTTCAGGGCCTTTCTGTTATAGTAAGCTTCTTGAGTGAGTGGTCTGGTGTTTATCTTATGCAACTCAATTTAAGATAGGTTCACGTGATATCTGGCAGAAAGCAGACTGGGGTGGGGTGTGGAGATACCGAATATTGCAAATGTAGGGTATGAAAAGCCAACATAAATTTTAATTCAGAAATTGGCAATGTTTTATTTATGTTGTTAAGGGTAATTTAATTACACAAGAAACATATGGCAAAGAGGGTGTAAGTTTTTTCCTTACTACCAATGAAGGAAAGTGACTTTCCTGTTTTTCTGCTCAGAAATACAGAATCACACATACTGCAAGATTTCCAGAAACAAATCATCCACTGAGTCTTAAAAGTAAAGAACTCTGTGTTCTTGCTCAGTTGTCTACATACCTGGGATCTTACAGGAGAGCCAAAGACATCAAAATGGCATTGCCTAGAAGCCACGGCCACTGGTCCAATGAAGACATCTTGAGGTTGCTGGAAAGCATGGAAACTAATCTCCCATCCAATGACAACAGCAAGTTCAGCACAACTCAGTCACACCTGGACTGGGGAAAAGTAGCTTTTGAAAACTTTTCCGGTGAAATGTGCAGACTCAAATGGTTAGAGATTTCTTGCAACTTGGGGAAATCTGGCACTTTGAAAGACTTAGTCCTGGAAGCCAGGAAATGTGTTACAAACACAAACAAAAGCCAAAAATATAGGAAACATCCGGACTTTCCAAAGAGGCCCCTTACTGCTTACAACCGCTTCATCAAGGAGAACTGGTCACAGTATTCCCAAATGTACCCTGGGATGAGAAACCAGGAACTGGCCAAAATCCTGTCAAAGAAATACAAGGAGCTCCCAGAGCAGGTGAAACAGAAATATATTCAGGATTTCCAGAAGGAAAAGCAAGAATTTGAGGAAAAATTTTCTCAATTCAGGAAAGAACACCCTGATTTAGTACAGAAGGCCAAGAAATCTGAGGTCTCCAAGAGGATTCAAAACAAAGGGCAAAAGAAGGTTCAGAATAATGGGGAAGAAGTGAAGTCTCTTCCAAAAACGGATCAATTTTTCAAGATGGTAAAATTCCATGGAGAGCCTAGGAAACCCCCCATGAATGGATATCACAAGTTTCACCAAGATTCCTGGTCAAGTAAAGAGCTGCAACATTTGTCCCTGAGGGAGCGCATGGTAGAGATTGGCAGACGCTGGCAGCGCATCCCGCAGAGCCAGAAGGATCATTATAAGAGCCAGGCCGAGGAGCTGCAGAAGCAATACAAGGTGAAATTGGATCTCTGGCTCAAGACTTTGTCACCTGAAAAGTACACTGCATACAAAGAATCAACCTATGGTAAGGGTAAGAATATGGCCATGACAGGAGGCCTGGATCCCAGGTTTAGACAAACAGATCCGCAGTCCTCTTTAGCAAAGGATCTGCAAGAAGGGTTTGGGGAGGGGCAGGGGCTCCAGGCTCCAGGGATGGATTCATCACAGAGTATTTTTGCAAATTATCACGTCTCCATGGAACCAGAAGAGAAGAGGAAGAAGGTGGCGGACGAGGAAGAAAGCAATAACCCTTCCGACCACTGCAGTGAAGAAGAAATAGAAGTTGATTGATGTCTGAGGGCAGTGTCTCTAGCACAGCTACTTCAGAGGACTTCAAACTGGGACTCCACTGACTCAGACTCTGACTCACACTCCAGGGTCAGAGTTTCTCAGCAAAAGCCCATTCGTGCCATCCACGTAAAAGAGAAGATACTCTCCTCCTGCCTCTTTTTGCTTCCTTGTTTTTTTTCCTTCTCTTTCTTCCCCACTCTCCTTCTCTATACAAATTAGGACAGGTTGGGAAGAAGTAACTTGGTACAGTACCCTCTTCCATCAGGATTACATGGGAGGGACTCTTGATAGAGAATAAAAATAAGCTTGAGTTTATACTGGCCTTAGCCTTAAAAAACAAACAAATATCATCCCTTTCCCAGGGAATTTTATGCAATTAAAGCCCCTGGAATGAAGCAATGATTAGGCTGTAGGGTACACACTGTATTAGACTGAATATTTCTGAAGCATGAAGCTTTGCTTTACTTAGTTTTGCCCTGCTAAAGGCAGTAAAGGGACATCCGTGGGCTTGGGACCCTGACCTTCCCTGTGGGAATGTTTTTCAGGACTCCTGCACTAAATCTAGGGTCCGAGATATTTAATGAAAGGTAGGGTAAGTGACTTAAGAAAATCGTTGCACTCTTGATATCTCTCCTCCGCTCCCTGCAGTAAGGAGTTGGCCATTCCCATGCCTGGGAGTAGGCAGCAATATTTCAATATTTCTCTGTGTATATCTGAATCTTAACTTTCAACAAGACTTTCCTTGCTCATACAAGAAAAAAATGAAAATACAAAATATAAACTTATCTATTTCATCTGAATGAGCTCCTCCACAGAATCCCTTATGACATTGGGTACAGTTTCTGTAGGTGCTATCTGCATTTATTCTTGAAGCTCCAAATCTTTCCTGCTGCTTTAGGTGCAAGTGAATCTCACCTTTAGCACTCAGGATTGATAGAAGGATGCAGAGAAAGACAGATATAGATAAATACACTAACCTGTTTCACTGTCTGCTACATCCATGAATTTAAACATCAGCATCATCACATTCTTTTAATTTGTTGATTTACTAATGTATTTGAAAATCAACCTAAGGTTAGTGCCTTCTCAGTATACCTTTATTCTCTTAAATGTTTCTGGCTATTTTCACATTTTGTTCTCATGAATATTAGCATCACAGAAGTAGTTGTATACTTTTTATATGAAAACCATTGAATACTGAGTGTTTATTTTGTCTTTAGATATCTTAGAAATTTTTATTTATAAGTTTTTTTCTATATAAATAATAAGCTGAAAATGTTTACCATTTTATATTTGTAACTTCTAAATGTGTTGTATTAAAATATCTAGAAGAATGTTTAGCAATAATGTTCTTGGCTTGCTTCTGACTTTCAACCTAATGCTTATGAAATTTAAAATTGTTAAAATTATGCTGACATGTACATTTGAAATAAATTGTAAAGAATGAAAATTGCTATTTACTTTTATTATTACTTGGTTTTATTTTATAATAGGTATTAATGTTTAACAAATTTATTTAACATATATTGATGTAATTTTTTTCTTAGTATATTAGTCATCATTCTCCAGAGAAACAGAACCACCAACATAGAGGAACAGAGTGATAGAGAGAGGTAGAATAATACAGAAAAGAGAGAGAGAGAGACAGAGATGGTGTCTTGTTGCCCAGGCTGCAGAGCAATGGCATAGTCTGGGCTCATGGCAACCTCTGCCTCCCAGATTCAAGTGGTTCTCCTGCCTCAGCTTTTCAAGTAGCTGGAATTACAGGCACCTGCCACCATGCCCGACTCATTTTTGTATTTTAGTAGAGACAGGGTTTCACCATGTTAGCCAGACTGGTCTCGAACTCCTAACCTGAAGTTATCTGCCCACCCAGAAAAACTAACTGTATTATGAAGAATTGGCTCACAAAATTGTGGAGGCAAAAAATACCATGATCTGCAATCTGTAAGCTGGAACCTATTCAATTTGGGTCTGAAGGCCTGGGAAGCAGGGCAGCCAATGTTGTAAAGCCCAGTTCAAGGGTAGGAGAAGATAAGATGAAATGTACTAGCTTAAGCAGTGACGCCCATTCCCAATGGCATTGTCAAAAACAATGGAGACCTTGGTTAGGAACAGTGAAGAGGAGCTTGAAATCTTTAGCATGCTTTGTAGCAGCAAATAAACTTCTGGTTGTCTGACAGAGAAAACCAGGCAAAGAGAAAGCCAAGAAAAGGCCTCCTGGGATCACTGATTTCTGGAGATATGGAAGCCTGTATTTCTGTGCTGGACTGAACCCACTCAAGAGTAACCAAGGTGGAATGTGGACGAATTTGTAAGCATTCCCGAAGTTAACCACTGATTCATCAGCAAAGAGCTTTTACCCCTTCTGGCTAAGAGCTAAAGCACAAATTCTGAGTCAACAGTGGGTGAACAATAAATTATTCTGTTCCACAGAGTGATTCCTAGAAACCAGACTTAAAAATAAAATCACATTCATCTCTGTTGATCTTCAAGACTGACCATGCACTGTCTTAGCAGTAACCAGAGAGAGGACCTCTGAGCTGTTAGTCTACTGAATGTGGGGTGTAATTGTAAACTTCCTAACCAGTGAATGTGATCTCCAAGCCACACACACATTGAATTGTAAAGGATAAAAATCTAACTAGGAGGATTTAGGCACAACTTTTGAAATACAGATTTAGCCTCAAAAACTGAACATTTCAAGGCACACATTTTAAGAAACATTCATATGACGAATGTTTTTGAGAATGATTTTCTCTGATTTGAATTAACGTCCTCCATGCAGTTCACTCCCAGGCCTGTTTTGTGCAGTTAGTTACAGGCTTGAAGTCGGAACATGAAGTTGTTTGTACATCCTCCGGTTTCCTGGGGCTGCTGGAGGACTCCTGATGGGCTGTCTAAAGGAATACCAGGCAAAGGCCATGCTGTCTTTACAGCACAGTCCTCTGAGATAGGTGGCAAAATATGAGGATTCCAACATAAAATGTTGCTCTCCGTTTCTACTTACTTTCCCTAATATTTTGTCACCTACCCTGAGTGAGTCCCAGTAAATCGACACAGCTGTCCCTCTGCTGAAGTCTTCTAGATTTTCTGTGTGTTCAGAGCTGACATTGTTTCTATTATCCTGACAGCACCTTTTTCTTCCTCTGTAATAACATGCTTTATGGATGATCCAAAATCACCAAAAGCTGCCATGGATATCATTGCAGGTCCTCTCACAATAATACCGATGCTATTGTTGGCAATGGATTGGTAGAAACCCAAAAGGGAGGAGTTAAGAGAAAGAATTGTCAAAGTCCTCTGATGAATGTTAGTATGTTCCATGTTTCCTTCCTATTTTTTTCTATTATGCATCCATAAGATATGAGTGGTCACAGTTTTAGCACAACCACGTAGTTCTGCAGGTCCACCATGTTTCTGGACAGCAGAGAGGGGATCAGAAGTAAAATAAGATGCCAAGTCTAAATTCATAGAAGAACAGAGAATCATAAGAGTAAATACAGCTGTGTCCATAAGGGTCCAAGATTCACTTGGAGAGCCACAATTATAACTTGCTTAAATCCACTGCCTTTTTCTATTTCAAGTCTTCCAGTAGACTGCATAAATCCATTCCCATTATGTGCTAAACAGTGATACAGTCCAGTATCTTGCATAATAACCCCACTGACTTTCAGTCCATTTCCTGCAGTTAGATGCCATGGGGAAGGATTCATAGGCTGTACCTTATGAAACCAGGTACTGTTGCCGGCTGGGGTCCCACAAACATCACAGGTAAAGTGGACTGTGGAAACCAGAGACACTATGATTCAGTAGTCTTTTAGAAATGGGAGCATGTTCAAGTAGATGAACCATGTAAGTCACTATTTCACATCTCCAGATCTGTTTCCCATCATGGAGGAATAGTTTCCGGAGTCCACTGGTTAATGCTATCTGTGGCAAGATGAGAATACAACCTTCTCCAATTGTTTCCTGGGGCAATATCCTGCCTGTGCTTTAGCCAATACATGTGAGGAGCTGGGACTCCACTAATCACATACTCCAAGGTTACAGGGCTACATGAAAGAACAGCTTATACCTGTGAATGAGCAGGATGAAGAATGTCAAAATCATCTCAAGAAAGGTGACTCAAAAGGAGCTTTTAACCAATAGGTTCACCTTTTAATTCATGACAGGATTATAATCTGCATATTTGTCTGATCCCTTGGACAAGGATACATTCAAAACTTAATTTGTCATGATGGAAGGATTAAGTAATCCTCTGTGGAATGTTTCAGCCACATTCCCTGGATTTTAGCTCACACCTCAGCTTTGGGGTTACTCTCCGGTACCCTGCAGTCAATGAAACCAGCACTTTTTTTCTTCTACTGTAACAACATGCTTTGCGCATGAACCAAAATCACCAACAACTGCTGTAGATACTGTTATAGGGCCACTTACAACAACACTGACCTATTGCTGGAAATGCATTAATAGTAACCCAAAAGGGAGGAGTTAAGAGAAAAATATTGTCGAAGTCCCCTGATGAATCTTAACATGTTCCATGTTTCTATTCTATTTTTTCCATTATGCAACCATGAGCTATGAGTGGTCACAGGTATAGCAGAACAATATAGTTCTACAGGTCCTTCCAGACGGCAGAAAGTGGCTCAGAAGTGAAATAAGGTGTCATGTCTGAACTTGCAGAAGAGCGGAGAATTGTAAGAGTATGGTAATACGGCAGTGTCCATAAAGGGCCAAGATGTAGATGCGGAGTGCAGGATTACCCAAGCAGGCAGAAAAGGTTTCCAGAGCAAAACCCAAGCCTTGATTCATTTTCCAAAGTATTGCAGTCCAGGGCAATCAAACACGTTGTTTAACCTTGACTATCCTCCCTGCTTACTAAAGACTTTGATTAGGGACAGTCTTCATGCTGTCCACAGAGGTTCTCCCAAACTGCGAGTGACAGCCGGCTTACATCTTCAGTGATTCAAGTCTGCAACGTGTATACACCTGTGCTTGGGAGAGAAAGTAGGGAAGCCACTTTCTGTACTCATCTTGGAGTTCAATTCAGTGTAAAAACACATCGTGGCAGTCCTGCTTGTAATAAAGTCCAAACTAGCAATCTGGCTTTGGGTTGAGCTGTTTTCATACAAGATAAACTGTTAAGTCATGCCTTGATTTTAGGTCTCTCTGCGGCTTGGGCTAAGCTGCCTTCTGGGAAAGCCACCCCCTGTCACGGCCTCCGGCAAGCCCCCGCGACTACAGTGAAGGCTGAGATCTGAAGCGGCCCCTCCAGGCCCCACAGGGCAGAAGAGGGCGTGGTGCCTCGCACGCCTCGGCGGAGGCGCTGCGTAGGGAGGGGTAGCTGCGTAGGGGCGGGGCCGCTGCGTAGGGCGGGGGAGATTTATAGGGCGGCGGTGCTGCGGTTAGGGCGGGGACGCTGCGAAAGGCGGCGGTGCTGCGGTTAGGGCGGGGGCGATGCGTAGGGCGGGGGTGCTGCGTAGGGGCAGGGCCGCTGCGTAGGGCGGGGGTGCTGCGTAGGGGCAGGGCCGCTGCGTAGGGCGGGGGCGCTGCGTAGGGGCAGGGCCGCTGCGTAGGGCGGGGGCGCTGCGTGGGCGCGGAGTCCTAGGTCTCCTCTCACTGAATTCCCTGAGCCGGGCACCCGCGCTGAGGGGAGGGTTGGTGGGGGCGCGGAGTCACAGGACGAGTTTCCGCGGCCAAGCTTTTCTGGACTCAGGCTTGAGGGCACGTAACCCGGTGGGCACAAGACCCACCAGGAGCAGGAGGAGCAATCCTGAGAAAGACAGGTGAGGCGGGTTGTAGAGGCCGCCCCAGTAGGTAGTTTTTTTTAGCCCATCCCTCTCCTACTTTGAAGTAGTTCACAGTCTGTTTTTCCCGTATTGATGTTTTATGTGTGTTCAGTGCTTAGCTCCCACATGTAAGAATATACAGCATTTGGTTTTCTGATCCTGCATTGTTTTTCGATCCTGCATTAATTTGCTTAGGATTAGTCTCCAGCTCTATCTACATTGCTGTGAATGACATGATTTCATTGTTATTATTATTATTATTATTATTATTTTGTGAGACGGAGTCTTGCTCTATCGCCAGGCTGAAGCGCAGTGGTGCAATCTCGGCTCACTGCAGCCTCCACCTCATGGGTTCAAGGGATTCTTCCGCCTCAGCCTCCCGAGTAGCTGGGACCACAGGTGTGTGCCACCACGCCCGGCTAATTTTTGTATTTTTAGTAGAGACGGGGTTTCACCATGTTGGCCGGGATGGTCTCGATCTCTTGACCTCGTGATCCGCCCGCCTCGGCCTCCCAAAGTGCTGGGATTACAGGCGTGAGCCACCGCGCCCGGCCAATTTCATTATTTTTTTTATGGCTATGTAGTAATCCGTAATGTATGTACCACATTTTATTTATACAGTTTACCATCGATGGACACCTGGGTTAATTATGTCTTTGTTATTGTGAATAGTACAGCCATTAACATAGGATTCCATGTGTCTTTTTGGGGCAATGATTTATTTTCTTTAGAGTATATACTCAGTAATGAGATAATTGGATCAAACGGTGGTTCTGCGGTAAGTTGAGAAATCTCCAGACTACCTTCCATAGTGAGTGGACTAATTTATATTTCCACCAGCAGTGTATGATAATCTTGCACTGTCTTTAGTTTATAAAATTTCTGCTAGACTAAGCTCAGGGCTGCAGCCCTGACTTCAGCAGGTAGCTGGGGCTTCCCTAAGCAGATATGTTCACAGGTAAAGAGAGTGCTCAGATCTCTTTGTGAGGAGAGAAGCAGAGGAAGAAGTTTGGGAGAGGGCCACATTTGGATGCCCTGAGGAGGGATGATAAGCAGATGTAAGGAGGGTGGCATTGTATTAGCAGCTGGTGACATCCTCCTAGTTCCAAAGTCTCCTGGAAAACATGAAGCCTCACTATGCCCAAGCATGCTACAGTTCTGGAGGGCACAGTGCCACTATTCTTCCCAGCTTGACTCTTATCCCCCATAAACGTGGAACTCTGAAGCCAGGAGACACAAAGAATTATCTTACACCCCCGCAACCTTTAAACCTTCAATTTGTAATTAAATCACAATGCATCCTTCTCTGTAATTGTCCTTAGCTAGCGCTAGATAGATCTGTGATCTATGATTATCTCTACTCTCTTGGGCAACAAGAATAGTGAATTGATTGATAAAACTTTTACTCCTGGAAAGTAGTGTAAAAATTGGTTCCTAATAAATTTTACAATATGAAAATATACTATCGTGAAGCAGACCAATAGTTAACAACTTTGTAAAGCCAATATATATCCCCACGATAAATACTCCTTTGCTAATGTGTTGGCTGTTGGATTTCTCACAACAGAGAGACATCTTCAGAGTTCTTCTTCCCTGTTAAGAAAATATTTCTCTTTTGTCTTCTGACATCTCTCTGAGGATCCCTTTTCTATGTCATCTGGTAACTTCTTATTTTATTTTTCCCTTTTATAGTTTTGGACCAGTTTACGCCACATTTTCCTCCCATTGCTCCCTATAAAGCTGTGAATTTTGAAAAAAAAAAAAAAGGAAAAGGAAGTGGGAAGAAGAGAGGAAGAGGATAATCCTATCAATAAAGAGGATGTCATGCTGGACACTGTATTGATTATGACACACAGTGCATGCAAATCTCCCTGCAATCTGCAGTATGGCTTTTATTCTTGTATTTTTCTTTGATCTGTCTAATAATGGGAGGGGAGAGTAACACTCTCAATGTCCCTTCTCCAGTAAATTGTAGATTTTCTTTTAAGAGACAGGGTCTTGCTCTGTTGCCCAGGTTGGGGTGCAATACTTTTACATTTATTGAATTACAAATTGCATTTTCAAAGCATTCTTTCCTTATAGGATTCTGTGTAGCAAATCTATATTAAAACAGTCTTTATATTTTAAAATACTTTTCAAATCAAAAGGCATGTAGCTTTATGGTGTTTTTATAATATGTCAACCTGACTAAACTGTAAGAATGTAAGAGAGCAAATTAGTCATTTCGTAGCCTACACACACTTCTCCCAGTTATTCAAGCAAATACTAACTTAGGAGCTACTGTGATGATTTTGTGGATGCAATTAAAGTTCCTAATCTTGACTCTAATCTATGGAAATTATCTAAGTGGACCTGCCTTAATGACAGGCCATTAAAGCAAGTTTTAGGCATTCCTTGAATAAAACTCCAAATAGCAAAAGTTCTACGTTGCTCCTGACTGCCTGTGGACAATTTTTGACCTGTGTTAGTTAGATTTCTGCCTGCTCCATTTTTTTCCCCAGAACGACTGCCTTACTGATCTCCAGCTTGCTTAGTCAGTTTCTATAGTAAGATGACATTTTTTTTCTTTATTCTCCCTCCTCCTAGTTCAGTTTCTCCAGTTGAACACGGACTGATACAAGACTAATAGATTTATTCTAACTTTTGAGATAGCATTATATAATCTTTTTATTACTCTGCATATCATTCTATGGCAGACTAAGCTAATCTCACTAATATAATCAGTACCCACACTTGGTTACCTAATGCTCTATATTTGGAAGATTTAACTGTCATAAAGTTAATGTATACTAAATATTTTGTTAGCTAAGAGAAAGACATATTAGAAACTTTTCAATTAATTCAGGCCAACACTATTGTGAGTTTTCTACCTCAGCTGACTTTGCATTTTATGAACTTATTTCAAAAGTCATTTTCTTTAGTCAACTCTAGATAGTACATAGTAATATCACATAGAAAGTTATAGTCAACAAAATAAAAACAGGATATTTTCACTTTACTAAATTTTGTTTGAATTCCCTTTTTTTTCCTTATATATGTCCAGATTTTAAGAGGAAATTTATTCTTAGGACTTCCAAATCCTTATTTCTTGCTCTGTTTTCTGAGTTGCAGATTTATAAAGCCACCTGGATATTACTCAGGCTCTTAATGTGAATTAGGGGCACTTCAAGTTTCTCATGTCCAAAAACACATCAGCTTTCATTCTTGAAAGGTTATTCTCACCTTCCTGGTTTCAGGAATCGGTATGACTGTTTACCTCCTTATCTATCCTGGAAAACTGAGATTCAGTTTAGACACTGTTTTCTTCTTCAATTTCCACATCCTATCAGGCCCTAGATAGTGTTGTTAAACCATAAAACCTTAAGTGTCTGTCAGATATATTTTGTCCTTCACATTTCTAATTTCTTCTTTTTTAATTCAAGCTTTTACTATCTCTTGGAAATTTCTTCTTATTTTTGGACTGACTTCTGCCATTAGATTTACCTTCACAAATGGTTTCTGAAAAACCACTTTCCATGGGCACTTGGTGGCCACCCAGTGGATTCTCCTTTGGTGCTGCTGCTTGTGCCTGCTACTGGGGGACTTGTAGGCGGATCTTCCCAGTATGGCCCTGCCCATCTTGCTACTGCTGCTCCCAGAGCTGAGGAGGGAGCTGAGAACATTGTGAACTCCATAATCAGCCCACAAATTACTTGGGGCTTCTCCTAGTAAACAAGGGTCAAGTATAAACCCAGCCATGTTTTTATCAAAACCACCTCTAACACATAAGCACCATCTACTGGCTTGTAGGTCGAACTGCACAGCTCCGTAAAAATATTTGTAGACAGAAATGCCTAGGGCTGTATGAGAGAAGCTGAAAGACCAACCATACCCAGCATTCTCTACATCAGGGGTCTTCAAACCCCTTGGCCTGTTAGCAACCTGGCTGCACAGCAGTAGGTGAGCAAGGGATCTCACTGTGTTGCCTAAGCTGGTCTCAAATCCCTTTGCTCGTGCCATCTGCCTGCCTTGGCCTCCCAAAGTACTGGGATTACAGGCTGCATTCATATATTATTTAAAATATGTGTACAACAGTACAGTATTCTTCATACCATTACTCTTCATAGTATACCAAAACTTAAAAAAGTTTATCTCCAGCAGAATGCCTAAATAAGTTGTGATATATCCATGCAAATAAATTTTATGAAGCAAAGAAAAAGAATGAACTTTCACTACTCGCAACAGAATGAAAGAATATCAAACATAACTTTTAAGATAAACGAATCAGGACAAAACTTAAAGAATATTTAATATTAAATAATTTAAATAATATTAAATATTAACAACACAAAAGTTCTATCTAAAGACTTTTTTTCTTTTACCCCACTTTTTTTTATTTTACCTCTTTCAATGTATCTAAAGATTATGTCACACACAAAGACCTGGACCTTCCCTATCTCTTCTGTATCTCTACAGTGTAACAGAAGCCTAAACCACTGCAAGGAAAATCAAGAAACATAGCTTCCCATAGGGTACTGGTAAAAACTTATTTCAGCTCATAGATGGGAACCAGAAATTGAAAGATGGGAAAGAGTATAAATACGTGTTAGATTAAGACCTAGAACCAAAGGCAGAACAAGATTACTGAGAAGGTCCCATTTGTAAGTCCCAGAGACAGTGTCTGCTTATAACAGAGGCTTAATCAGAACTGTTTCGTGTATCTGCGTGTATATTTGTGTAATTATTTAACCTGATCATAGAAAATACATTTTTTTAATAATATAAAATATTCTGTGAAACAAATAATTATAAATTAAATCACAAAGAAAATATTAGTACATTCCACAGTGTTAAAATACACATAATATCTATATTGATTATGGTCTTGTTTTTTAATACTATATATACATATATATGTGTGTATGTATGTATGTATGTGTATATATATATATGTATGTGTATGAAAATGCAATATATTTTTATATATATGGCTTCTTCATCTATTTGGTACTAAAAGTCCTATATAAATAATTTATATATTGAGTGTGTTTCTACCTAGGGTTCCTAGCATCTATTTTAACCTTCTACTTTATAACTTTGGTTGCTATACTTTTGATGCATTTTTTTTATTGTAAATTTTGATAGCATTAAATTGTCACATCGAATACTGTTGGTTTAAATTCTACTTACTTTCTTATCAGATTTCCAGATACTTCTTTCTTAATGTTTCCATGTTTCTAGCATAATTTTGTCCTTCTCTTTACTTGCAACCTTTCTGAATTATTTTGCTTTAGGTATCTTTTTTTGTATACAGGACAAAGCTGGGAATTACATTTGAGCTTATAAAAATAGTTTTTTTTTTATCTTTTAATAGGTAAGTTAAGACCATTCACATTTATTTTATAAATGTGTGCATTGATTGAATATTTCTAATATGACTAGTAAATACACAAAAGAAACTCAACATCATAGTCATTAAGAATATTTTAACTAAAACCCAAATTACACACCACTATAAGCTCAATACAACAGCTATAATTTAAAAACACATACAATAGCATGCATTGTTAAGGTTATGAAGCAATGGGAATTTTAATGCATTTCAGGTAAGCATGTAAAATAATACAGCCACTTTGAAAAATAGTTTGTTTTCTTAAAAAACGAAAAAAACCATAATGTACCAGAATACCCAGGAATCTCATTCCTCAGTATCTACCTAAAAGAAATATAAACATGTTTACTCAAAGACTTAAACTCATATATACATGATAGTATTATTTATAATAGCTAAAAACTAAAAACAATCCAAATCTTGATCAACTCTTGAAAGAAAAATCAAAATGTGAAATATTCATTGAGTGAAATGCTAATCAGAAACATAGTGAAATACTGATTTATGTTACAATATGTATAAATATTGGAAATATTATGCCAAGTTAAAAGACACACTAAAGACTATATATTGTATAATTGCATATTCAGAGGCAGAAAGTTAGCGAGAAGTAATTGATTCCCTGGTTCTAGGGTAGAAGGTGAAATTAATTGTAAACCAGCACAAGGCATCCTTTTGAAGTAATGATAATCTTCAAAAACTAAATTATGGTGACAGTTGGGGAATTCAATAAATATACTAAAAATCATTGAATTTTACATATAACATGGGAGAATTTTATGTTATACAGATATCTCAATAAAGTTGTTGAAAGTATTGAGGAATATAAAAGTTATAAAATTGCCAAAGTGCTTTTCAAAAAGGAATAAAATGAGAAGATACATATTATTTGTATCCAAATGTGGTATATGTCTGGAGTGATCAAGAAAGTATATTAGTGTATGGCGAGATAAAGAAATATGTACAACAATAAAACAGAATTAGAGTCCAGAAGTAGATAACACATATATGGTCAGTTGATTTTTCACAAAGGTGCTAAGATCATTCAAAAGATTAAATGATAATCTTTTCCACAAATAGTGTTTACATTTTTGGAATTCATATGCAAACCAATGAACTTCAAACCCATGTTACACTGTACATAAAAATTAAGTCAATGGATCACTGACCTAAATGTAAGCCTAAAACTGTAAAACTTGTAGAAATAGTCATATAAAAAAATTTAGTGAACTGGTGTTAGATAAGTATTTCTTACATGTGGCATCAAAAACATAAACATTAAAATATGACAAATTTGATTTATTAAAATTAAAAATTTTTTTCCAAGGAGACAATAAAATTAAAATATAAGCCATAGACTGGCAGAAATTATATTTGCAAAACATATATGATAAAGTACTTGTATCAAAAAGAACTCTTACAACTCAGCAAGTAGACAAACTATCCAATAAAATCATTGTACAATGATGTTGAGCTTTTTTTTTTTTTTCTTGAGAGAGGATCTTCCTCAGTTAACCATGCTGGAGTGAGAGATCATAGCTCACTGTAACCTCAAACTCTTGGGCTCAAGGCATCCTCCCATCTCATTCTTCCAAGTAGCTGGGACTACAGGCACACATCACCATGCCCAGCTAATTTTTAAAACTGGCTGTTGAGATGCTGGTGGCAATGTAAAATGGTCAGTCACTTTTTAAAAAAAGTATTTTGATAGGTTCCTAAATGATTAAAAATACCCACTAAATAATTTAGTACTTTCACTCCAAGTAACTGCCCACATAATTAAAGATATGTGGATTAATTTGCATAGAAATATTAATTATTGTTGCCAAAATCGGGAACCATTCAGATGCACATCATCTTGTGTTTGGATATGGCCAAATAGATGCAACCAGGAAGCTCCATTCCCGTTGAGAGAAACCAAAATATTGAGCAAACCACATAACTAACAGACACTATAAAGCAACTATACTATCCAGTCTACAAAACAACCAGCTGACAGCATGATGACAGATTCAGAATCTCACATATCAATACAAATCCCAAATGCAAATGGTCTAAACGCCACAATTAAAAGGCACAGAATGGCAAGCTGAATAAAAAGACAAGACCCTAGCGTATTTCGTTTTGCGAGACCCATCTCACATATAATGACACCTACATGCTCAAAGGATAAAGAAAGATCTACCATGCAAACAAAAAAATTCAGGAGCATCTGTTCTTACGTAAGATAAAACAGACTTTAAACCAAAAACAAGAAGGGCATTACAAAATGATAAAGGTTCAATTGAACAAGAAGGCTTAAGTGCCATAACCATCTCTATGTATTCTTTCTGCAATAATATGTCTCAGTCTGTCCTGTCTTGGTAATTATTGCTTATATACTATAATAATTATATTTTAGTATATTTTTGTTGGTTCTATAGCTTTTGACTTTAATAATTTTTACACATTCATTTAATTATTTAGATATTTCTTGAATATCATATCATCAGACTGGTTTTTTATTCTGTAATGAATGAGAACGGACATTGGCCTTCCCTTCTTGTAATTTACAAACTTGAATAAAGGATCCAAATTATATTAGGAGTTTTGCAAAGGAAACGTGTGAGCTGTTCTTGACGTCGTGTTTCCATGAGACCTCATCTAGTTCAGAAAGCTGTGAACTGGTGAAGGGACAGGATTTATCCAGGTGGGAATGGAGAATTTTAGGCTGACACTGAGTTTTAATAAGGGATATCTGGAAGGCAGCCTGTCTGTTCTTTAATTTGACTCAGTTAGCTGGGTTTTCATGCTCATGTAATCTTTCACCTCTAGTAAGCTTTGATAAGTTAGAAGAGCATGCATCCTATACAATATAATAAAAGACATTACATTTATTCAAATAAAGTTGAAAAGACAAATGTATATACTGTACATTATCAACACTTTAAAAAATGACATAATAAATATATATCCTGGAGGTAAAATGAAGTAAAAGGTAATGAGGTATGACTGATTTTCTCCATTAAGAAAGTCACCAGAATAGAAGCCTCCTCTGCTATTAGAATTCCCAAGGTCTTGATTAGGTTTGTAACCTGTCCCTGATAATTTAGATCCATGGATCTAATGAAAGGTCTGAGAGGAAAATAGAAAATACGTGAGAGGAAACTGCAAATGAGGGAACTTTGGGCAATGTTAATATAGCTTACTATCCCACATTCATAATCCAGGAACACCCCCAGCCAGCCTTGGGGCCTTGGAATATAATGATGTAACAGTGAGGAAGTAGAGAAGAGACTGAAATCGTCATCCACTTTAAGACAGAAGTAGAAAGATACCCTCAGAGTCAAGTTGCATGTCATTCCTCTTTGTCCAGGTTTCCCTGCAAAGTCCTGTCACACAATTAAAAGAGTCTTTCAGATCCACTGCCCAGTAATGTTTGCCAGAGCTGAGGATCTGAGGTCCCCATGAAGATGTATACTCTGTGCTTGTTGGATTACAGTATATGTATATAGCATTGCAAACACTTCAGGTCTTCAAACAGAAGTTTGTGATTACTGAATTTCTTACATCCAAGGTGATATACACTGTAGCAAAAAACAGTGAATGCAAAGAACAGTTTAAAAGTTCGGCGGTACAGGTGCAGAGGCAGTCTGGCAAATGCTTAACATCCAATCCCTGAAAACAAGCAAACAAAAGCACTTGGTTTGTTTTGTTTGTTAGGAATATTTCCATCTCATTAAGGTCAGTTTCAAGCTACTAACAATTTAATAATCAGTCAAAAAATTTCAAAACATTTAACAGTTAGCTCTCATGAGTCAGTGTTGACTGGCTCTGGCACACCATTCTATCACGAATGGCTTACGGAGTATATCAGGGAATTATGGAGACAGTTTAGCATCAGATTCTTGTCTATTTGTAGAGCAAATGAATCTTTAATAAAGCAATTAAGATGAGAGAAAATTTAGAGAATACATAAAGACGTAGGATGTCAAGCTCTAATTTTATTTTTACTAGACCACTGAAATTTTCCAGCTTATTCATAAGATGCCAAGAAAACAGCAAAATGGCCCTTTATTTAAGCCTCCTTACTAACCAATTTTCACAAAATATACTAAAAATAATAAACACGTTATTAATTATACTTAAGCATGATATTGTTATCATTATTAGTCCTAAACAATGAACACTTTCCCTAAGATGGGAGGGCTTCACACTTGATCTTAGCCAAAAGGCCAAGAAGTAATGAGGGCTTTACAACGTAAGCAAGCAAGGGTGAAATAAACTAAAAATCTTTATGTGTCTTTTAAAAAAGGTGGTTTCTCTTCCAGAATTTCTGATTTGGACACCATCAGGTCAGAATTCTCTTAATTTCATCCCATCCATGGCTGCCTCTCTTCTGTCTGCCAGACCCACCCTCTATTTCCATTTGTCAGTGAAGAGATTATCTTTCAGTCTGCTTTGTGGTTATACCTGTTGTTTACAAACTTGTTTTTATGGTTTTGAGAATCCTGTGGTTTTTCAAATGTATTCCTTAAAACTTCAGTCTTTATGTAAATATTTGAATAGCATTAAGATGTTTCTAAGAATCGGATTATCTAAATATAACCACAGTTATGAATATGCAGTTTTATATGCTACATTGAAAAATTAACACTTTATTTATAGCATCCCTCCAGGTCTTTTCGTGTTACACACTGCATATCTTGTTTATTTACTCTAGACTTAAATTAACGTTTCCTGAAAGTTTATTAACAGTTTTAAAATTGGTTATAAAGGTTTCCATATTTATCTGCTTGTTCACTGAAAATAATAATGAACAGAGATGGAAAAGTTTAGACTGAAGTGAATATAGGTTGCTCATATAAAAATACTTACGTTGGAAATACTAGTGCAGCTCATACTTTTACCTCTGAAGAAGTTAAGCCTTTCTGACATCCCAATGATGGTCCATGCATTGAACTGTGGGTTCACAGGCTGAGGCATGGCCAGTGCAGAAACTCATTCCTGCAAAGAAAAATACCTACTTACCACCAGTCCCAAAGGAATCATTAGCAATCCAGTAAAGATGCTTGATCAGAGTTCTCACAATTAGGTTGGAAAGTGTGACTTACCCAAGACCTAAGAAATATTACAACTGTAACTGTATTTTATTATGTGCTCTGCTGCTTTTAACACCTCTATCCCAGTAGTATACATCATCTCAGTCATAATTGTTATCAGTTCTCACCTTTCCAACTTCCCTAGGTGAGCCATGCAGAAATTCTCCTTTAATTTCTGAAATTTGATAGGTGTCAAATTTTTGGAACATGCCACCTGCTACATGTGGAGCCTCAGCTCTATACTACATTCCTTCTTGGTGATGTTGCCTTTCTCCTATTTTTGCCATCTTTCCATCTGCTGCCTCTCTGAAATTATTTGCCTTTCCATGGACAACCTGGCATAACCTTGGAATATTTAGGATTTAGAAAATTAGAGGCAGGAAAAATAGTTGTCTTTTTGAAACTTTTATAGTAGGCCTTGCAATTAATACTTTTCCCCATCCTTCACTTTTGTATGAAGTAGTCAATATAAAAAGCCTGGGTGACTTTTAGAAAAGAAAGGAATAAATACAGAAACCCATCACTAAAAGTGTGGGTCCAGTCCAGCAGAAACAGCCTGATTATTGTTGCAATTACCATGAGTTGGATAGAGGGGCAAACTTACCTCTTCTTTATGTCTCCTAAATCCTATAAAGAGAGAGAGCTTAGTTTACAGCACAATATGGTTCTCTAGTTCAGTGCAGTCTGAGGATATGGACTGGATTGAGAAACTTAATATCTTCTACTTTCCTTCTCTGGATAAAGCCATTTTTCATTTTCTTTATAAATATGAAACCCAGTTTGATGTTTACATATAGTTGATAAAATTACGCTCTTGGTGAAACAGATGCACTGAGGTTGAACATATGGGAAGACATGCTGCTGCACAACCACCTGCAGCCAGATTGACAGAGGTCTCCACAAGGTTCTTACAAGAATGTGTGGGTCCTTTGGCCAGGTGCAGTGGCTCACACCTGTAATCCCAGCACTTTGGGAGGCCGAGGCGGGTGGATCACCTGAGGTCAGGAGTTCGAGACCAGCCTGACCAATATCGTAAAACCCCTTATCTAAAAAAAAAAAAAACAAAGAACAAAAAGAATGTGTGGGTCCCAAATCTAGGACCTCAAAACTAAAAGAGTAAATAATCTTCATAAATCCCACACTTTCATATATTGACACATTTGTATACAAAACTGAATCGTATTCATGAGCTGCTCTGTTGCAACTGCTAAGAATTGGTGGGTATAGTAAAATAATTTTAGAAGGAAATTTTCCTGGGTTTGTTACTAGAACCTTTCCAAATAGTTTTCCTTCTCCTCTATGGGGCAAGAAAGAGTGAGACTTGGTCTACAGAGGAGTGAAACTTGCTACCATAAGGTCAGGAGAGGCAGAATCTGAATATTTGGAACCAGAAAAGAATACAGATCGAAAAGGCTCTAGTAGATATGATTCCCAAACAGTGTGGTATTCAGCACCCTGACCTCCTCCTTCAGTTTTTCCCTGGATCAGGTTCATACCTGTTTTCTAGCACATTTCCTTCAGTTTCTCATCCATTCCTCTCAGGAGGCTCCCAGTCTTGGCCATTCTAGTTTCACTTCTCCTAAGTGGCAGAAAAATCATCTTGGCTTCACTTACTGGCTCTCTAAGTGCTTTTGCTTTTCTGCACGGATACTGACACACCTTAGGATATTCAGTGCTGATCATCATGACCCGCAAATGCATAAAAACCTGTAGTGATATTGGGTTAATTAAATCATGGATCTAAGTGATTTTATTCTTTCCTTATCAGATATTACTTGTTTCATGTTTTGTGCTATTCTGCTAAATATAGTTTGATGTCTCTCAACTTCAAATACAATGTAAATCTTCCTTTCTTCCTCCTTCCCTTCCTCTCTTCCATTTCCCTGCATCATTCCACCTACTTTCTCTCAAACCTTATTTTCATTTTAAAAATGAAGATAAATTAAGATCAAATTTATATTGTCTTATATAATGTTCTGACAGCTTCATTACTATATCTAAATTGTAGTCCATTCTTCTCAACACTCCTACTCATAACAATTTACTACCTCAGGAAAATAGAGAACATAAGACATTCCTGAATCTTCCTAAATTACTTTCATTTCCAAAACACTCAGTGTTTTTACCAGCAGTTGGCTATGCTCACCTATTACCTAAGACTACTCATCTTTAACTACCCCTTCTCTAGATTACTCTTACAATGTTCATTCTTTCCCTCTGCCCTCCTCTGTCTTCCTGTCTCTGTCTCTATTGTTTGCCTACTCTCTCTTTCTGGATCCATTTCTCTGTCTCCCTCTTTTTCTGGCCTGTCTTTGTTTTTCTCTGTCTCTGTCTTTCTGTCCCTTTCTCTTTATTACCCCCATCTCCTTCACTCAATTATTATTATTTTTGAGCCAGGGTCTCAGTCTGTCACCCAGGTTGGAGTGGTGCAATCATTGCTCACTGCAGCCTTGAATTCCTGGGCTGAGGAGATTCTCCCACATCAGCCTCTTGAATGAATAGCTGAGACTACAGACACATGCTGCCATGGCAGCCTACTCAATTCCTTTTTTTTTTTCTTTCAGATGGAGTCTCACTGTGTTGCCAGGCTGGATGGAGTGCAGAAAGGTGATCTCCGTTCACTGCAACCTCTGCTTCCCGGATTCAAGTGATTCTTCTGCCTCAGCCTCCGAAGTAGCTGGGACTACAGGCACCTGCCACCATGCTCAGCTAATTTTTGTATTTTTAGTAGAGATGGGGTTTCACCATGTTGGCCAAGATGGTCTCGATCTCTTGACCTCGTGATTCGCCTGTCTCGGCCTCCCAAAGTGCTAGGATTACAGGCGTGAGCCACTGTGCCCAGCCTCAATTACTTTTTTCACAGTTTTTTCCTTCTTTCCTTTGCACCTTTGAACGTGCAAATTTCGCAAATTACTTTGGAAAAAAAAATTCTTGTCCCAGTTACCTCATCTGGCTTCTCTTGCTAGAACGTTTCTATCCCTATCAAAGCTAAATTTATTGATCAAATGTGACCAAACTTGCTGTGCTGTGCTCATCTGTGTGATTAATGACCCATTTACTTCTATTCCCTACTCTTTCCTGAATCAAACATTACAACTTACCAAGAGCTTCTTTTTTCTAAATCCAAATATTGTGCTTAAATTCTAGGATTCTTCACCTTCCTTCTGCATTTGACACTTATTTTCTATTTACTCCTTTTAGTCATACCTTGTTTTTCCTGCTACAGAAAATACATTCTTATAAAGCCACTGATTCATTTCTTCTGCACCTTCTTATCCCTGAAAATGGGTTGTTCTTAACCAGCATACATTCTACAAACCTGCATTCTTTATACCCATTCTCTGCTTTATTTTCCCCGAAGCACTTCACAAACATTATTTATTATAAAGTTTACATTTAATTTGTGGATTGAATTCTCCTACTAGATCATAGACTCCTAGGGTTAGTGATCTGTTTCTTTTGTCCACTTCTGTCACAGGTTGTTGGGCTAGAGCGGTGAGCAACACATGTTAGCCCCTCACAAGAATGCAGGCCACCTCAGAAAATCCATCTGAAAGGATCAACATGATTTTGTTGTTTCCCTTTGGCATTCACACAATATCATGTCTTGATTCTAGTTGAATGAATTATTATTCTCTACTGGCCCCTGTTTATATGTCCCCTTCAGTAGTGCTTGAGATCTTTTAGAATAAAAATGTTGTTTAATTTACTTATTCAGTTTTAGGTACTTAATTCTTATTTGTGAATGGATTATGTAATCATAAATTCTTAGCTAAGCATTCACATTCTGGACCTGGCCATAATTACATTTATAGTCATATCTCTTATCACTGCCAGACACTTTTTCATGAAGTAATCAAGAGGAGTTACTCACATGTCCAAATAATTGTACCATTTTTCTTTGAAATTGCATTTTAGGTTTTGGGGTACATGTGAAGAACATGCAAGATAGTTGCATAGGTACACACGTGTCAGTGTGATTTGCTGCCTTCCTCCCCTTCACCTGTATCTGGTGTTTGTCCCCATGCTATCTCTCCCCAACTCCCCACCCCCCACTGTCCCTCCCCTATTTACCCCCAACAGACCCCAGTGTGTAGTGCTGCCCTCCCTGTGTCCATGTGTTCTCATTGTTCAACACCCACCTATGAGTGAGAACGTGCGGTGTTTGATTTTCTGTTCTTGTGTCAGTTTGCTGAGAATGATGGTTCCCAGGTTCATCCATGTCCCTACAAAGGACAGGAACTCATCGTTTTTAATGGCTGCATAATATTCCATGGTGTATATGTGCCACATTTTTCCTGTCCAGTCTATCATTGATGGGCATTTGGGTTGGTTCCAGGTCTTTGCTGTTGTAAACTGTGCTGCAGTGAACATTGGTGTACATGTGTCCTTATAGTAGTACGATTTATAATCCTTTGGATATATATCCAGTAATGGGATTGCTGGGTCAAGTGGAATTTCTATTTCTAGGTCCTTGAGGAATCACCACACTGTCTTCCACAATGGTTGAATTAATTTACACTCCCACCAGCAGTGTAAAAGTGTTCCTATTTCTCCACATCCTCTCCAGCATCTGTTGTATCCAGATTTTTTACAGATCGCCATTCTAACTGGTGTGAGTTGGTATCTCAATGTAGTTTTGATTTGCATTTTTCTAATGACCAGTGATGATGACCATTTTTTCATATGTTTGTTTGCCTCATGTGTGTCTTCTTTTGTAAAGTGTCTGTTCATATCCTTTGCCCACTTTTGAATGGGCTTGTTTTTTTCTTGTAAATCTGTTTGAGTTCTTTGTAAATTCTGGATATCAGCCCTTTGTCAGATGGGTAAACTGCAAAAATTTGTTACCATTTTTATAACTTCTAGCTTTCTTATTCCTAAAATCCTTCTACCATTATCATCCATAAATTTCTCAGTTTTACTAATACATTAGCATCAGATTGATTTTCACCTAGAAGATTTTTTTTTAGCATTTCATGTCTGCTAAGCTGCTGTAGAATCCCATTTTTACCTTCAACCTAGCATGCCATTTTTAGCACATTTTCTTGTCTCTGCAGATATGTATTGTTGGTAGATACTGCTTTATCGAGAAAAATCAGGATTTTTCTTAGTTATACATTGGATTCAACATGAACTCTCACACTGAAGGTTATGTTATTTTGTAGAGAAACACATGTAGCTCTCTTTTCTGGTCATCCTATTCAGGGGACATTATGATTAAACTTAAATTCTTCCCCTACAAGTTACCACATTTTCTATTCCAAACTAGTTCTAAGAAAAATGAGCTTACTGCTTACCTTCCATTTTTGTATTATATTGGTCTCTCTGTTTAGATTTCTTTGATTTTTCTGTTTTTTTTTTCCAGATGGACTTTATTTGCATCAGGAAGTTCTCCTGAAAAACAAAAAGCTATAAATTTGAGCACTAGAAAATATTGTGTATTTCTGAAAGAGATATAGACATGGGACAAATAAAGAGTGCAGAATGCAGACATGTAGGGGCTTTTCTTGAGGATGCTGATTGTCAAGTCTGAGAGGCCAATCAAACCAAGGGTAAAATTCCCAAATTTGGAAAACAAGATCCATTATCTTAGAAATCTGGTGCTGAAACTGATACAATCTGGTCAATTTTCAGAAGTAAATTTTATTTTATATTTAATTTTAAAATGCTAGTCCTCAATTGATCTACAGTACTATTGGAGCATAGTGACCAGTATTTTTTTTTATTTTTATTTTATTTTATTTATTTTATTTTTTATTGCATTTTAGGTTTTGGGGTACATGTGCAGAGCATGCAATACAGTTGCATAGGTACACACAGGGCAGTGTGTTTTATTTGCTTTCTCCCCTTCACCCACATTTGGTATTTCTCCCCTGGCAATCCCTCCCCACCTCCCCCTCCCACTGGCCCTCCCCTTTTCCCCCTATAGACCCCAGTGTTTAGTACTCCCCTCTCTGTGTCCATGTGTTCTCATTTTTCATCACCCGCCTATGAGTGAGAGTGACCAGTATTTATTAGAATTTTCTATAATAGATTCATTGCAATCATGACTGTTAGCCAATGACTATCATGAAAACTAGTGATTAATCTAGAGCTCCTTACAGTGAAATACCAGAACCCTAATGCTCATCAATTTTGACATCATTCCTCTCCCTCAGCCCAATAGAATTTAAATTTCAGGTGAGCAGGGACATTTGTGTGGTTTCTTCAGTGCTTTATCCTAGTGTCTAGAACACTGTCTAATACATGTTCATCAGTAATTCTGTTTATTGCATAAAATTATTAATGATTTACTACTAATAATGATTTTATTATAATTAATAAAAAGATACATTTAGATTGTAAAGGATGATACATTTAGGATGTACAAAATCTGATTGAAAAAGCATAAAAATATAAGTCCATAAGATTATTAATAATAAAGTGTATCTTTCCTTATTACCTGTAGGATTCAGGGTCCTTCACATTTCAAAGTGCAATCAGTGGCATTCACTTACCCTATAGTATTCATCAGCCATTATCCTATAGTGTCTGTGAGTAGCATGCTCTAGCAGTTAACAGCAAAGAAAACGGCAGCCTCCTGTCAGTTTCACAGGTGAAGTTCTTGATTTCCTGGTGTCTCCTACAGATCAGCATGGCAGAGCTTGGTAAGTGGCAGGTGATTGATTCTCTGGTATGAAGAACTTGTTTCTTAGCAAAAATAATGTGTTTGAAGTTCATTTATGGTACTTGCCTGCACACAGGGCAGCAAGTTGGAGTTTGTGCATCTTCCCACAAAAGGCAGAGACAGGGACTACAAACTGTGCCCACAGCAAATGGTGATAGGGTCTGTGAAACTGTCTGTGCAGATTGAGCAGGTGAGCTCACTGGTAGAACACTGCATGATAGCAGAAGCCATGTTTCTGAGAAAATAAAAGGAAAGTGACATTTTTCCCCCAAGGCGTAGGAGATGAGATGAAGACCTTTTTCACTCATTTATGTATGCACTGTAGCAGGACAGTCCATGTTTTCTCAATGGCTAAAATAGGATGGAGAGGCACAAAGAATGCAACAGATTGATAACATGCACTCTTTCTTGACAACTTTGGCCTATACACTATTTTCTAGCTCCCTAATAGAAATCCAATATTTTTTATATCTGTTACCTCTTCTACAAAAATTTCTAAAAATCACAGGTCCTGGGCTTCTCTGTAGTCACAGGCAGTGGGTCATTATTTTGTCCAAAGCTATCAAGATTTCCACTCCCTCTTTTTTTTTCTCCTTTTCTGATTGGTGTGTACTCCAATTCTATACTTCAGTTATGGCCAAAAGAACAAGAAAGTAGACTCCTGGGAGAATTCTGTAAAAGGTATTCTTGCTACAGAAAAGACACGTGGAAGAAATAATTGCCTGTTCTGCCTCTGGACATTATTTGGATGCAGTATTTGCTTGTGTAACCATTTTTGTGGACTCATTGTTAACTAATTTAAAACAAAACCCAATACTCTAAGGAAAACAGAAAAGTGGAAAGAACCTGAATCCTTAATAATACAATAGAACACTAATTACATAATTCTGGAGAGGCCAACTAATGCAATGGAAGAAATGGTAGAAAATTATCATTTTACAGATGCCATAAAAATAATTGAATCAGGCAAGAATAATTAATGGATAATAACTAAGTAATATATTTTGGGAAAGAGCCTATTTGCACATCAACAAAGTTCTACCCCACATATTAGCTCTATCCACAGTGTTACTGAGGTATAATTGATAAGTGAAAGTGTATAATTTAATGTGTACAGAGGTAGATGACTAAGGACACATAACACCTCTGTAGTGTTTTTGCCAAAAACATTTCACCTGCATGTAACCATGAGAGGAAATTGGATAAACTCATTTGAAAAACACTATGCAAAAAATAAGCCTGGCCTATTAAAATAATTTTAATTTCGTTTGGAAACAGCTGCATAGCAAAGATAATTAAAAGAAAAGAAAAATTAACTACGATGTAATTATAGTATCATTGATTTGTACCTGGTTTGAAAAAAGTTACAGCCAATTATGACATTATTGAGACATTCAGGGACATCATAAAACCTAATAGGGTCTTACGGTTGCAGAAAGATTAATGAGGTTTCTCTCTCTCTCTCTCTCTCTCTCTCTCTCTCTCTCTCTCTCTCTCTCTCTCTCTCTCTCCTCTCCTGTTGCCCAGGCTGGAGTCCCATGGCACAATCTTCACTCACTGTGACCTCTGCTTCCCGGGTTCAAGCGATTCTTCTGCCTCAGCCTCCTGAGTAGCTGGGACTACAGGCACATGCCACCATGCCTGGCTAATTTTTGTATTTTTAGTAGAGATGCATTTTCACCATATTGGCCAAGCTGGTCTCAAACTCCTGACCTCATGATCCGCCTGCCTTGGCCTCCCAAAGTGCTGGGATTACAGGCATGAGCCACTGTGCCTGGCTCATTTGTCTGTTTTCTAAACCATTAGAGAATAGAGGTAACAAGACAACTCAGTAAGTTCTGCATAGAGACAGGTACAGCACTGAGAAAAACAGAACTCCTGCATACGTTTATCTGGGGCAGATTCTACCAAAGCCCATAAAAGCAGGTAGAAGATAAACCAAATGGTTTTAGTTTACTGCTACAAACCAAAGCTGGGCTTGAGTGAGTGTGCAAAGACCCTTACGGTCACACATACAGAAGAATCCTCACCAAAAGGGCAGGCCTTTCCAATAGAAATGCCCAGAGGCTCTCACAGGGAAAACCAGGAAGAATCAAGAGAAATTTTCCCTTCTTGTGGTACTGACTGGGAGAGAAAAATAGCAGCAAAGACATCAAATCGACCTAAATATTTATCAATGATAGACTGGATGAAGAAAATATGGTACATATACACCATGGAATACTATGCAACCATGAAAAGGAACAAAACAATGTCCTTCACAAGGACATGGAAGGAGTCGAAAGCCATTATCCTCAGCAAACTGCGGGACACAGAAAACCAAACATCACATGTTCTCACTTATAAGTGGAAGCTGAGTGATGAAAAAACATGAACACATGGTGGGGCGGGGCGGGGGGCAACACACTCTGGGGCCTCTCAAGGGTCAGGCTGGAAGAAGGGAAAGCTCAGGAAAAATAGCTAATAAATGCTGGGCTTAATACCTAGGTGATGCGATCATGTGTGCAGCAAACCACCATGGCACACGTTTACCTATGTAACAAACCTGCACATCCTGTACATGTATCCCTGAACTTAAAGGTTGAAAAAACAAATATATTTTAAAACATCTGTTAATTCCTAAAAGTTTTGCTCACCATGCGTTTTCCCAAAGCACTATATTAAAAGTGAAAGTGATTTCACACCAGATTTGTCTTTCAGTCTGTCTCTCAGTACACATAAAAGCACCCTTTGCAGTGAATCTGAAAATATTTTGTGTAATTTTCTTAATGTTTCTCCCACTGAAACACAGAATTTAAAATAATTTATACCAAATATGTTAACAAATATTAACATAATAGTGACAAAGACTAGTTATGTTTCATGGGTTAAAATAACATATTTGTATGTTATTTTTCATTTTGCAAGTTTTTTACAAGTAGCAAAAATATATGTGCACAGTTGTACTGGGAGAATAAAAGTAGACAGGTATCTGTATAATATCAATAGGGTTTTGAATGAACAATAACAAAACTTTTCAGTGTAAGGAAAGTCTAGAACCTGTTAAGGCACTCAGGAGGGGGGTCTCCAGGTGGAGAGAGTGGTTCTCATTCCAGTTCTATTCCTTTGAAAAGTTTCTGAATAACCACTGCCACCATCAAAGTGACCACAAATGGGGCTTTTCCACATTAATATGCTTGTTGAACCCTGCTTCAATTTATTCTAAAACATAGGGAGGAGATGAGACTGGACCTTTGATTAAAGGCTTTATTAAAGACTCCGTGGAAACTATGGAGAAAGAAAAGCAAACAGTAACCAGAAGCCTGGTAGCCTAGTCTATGCAGCTCACTTTTCTCACCTTCTAATTGGTGCCTCTCCTCAAGGGACCTCCGTTGTCTTATCCTGCTTGCCCCATCACCCGGAATTGATGCTTTGTATCTGCCCACACTGTCCAGATCCAGGAAGAGGAGGAGATGGGAGTGGGCGAAAGTTTTCATGACCAGCTGTGCTGTGTTTCCTTTTTGAGAAGGCACCCTTCTCAGATTAACAGCCAGGCTGATGAGTTAGCCTAATTGGTGTATCAGTATCACCTGAAAAGCTTCTGAGGCCACAGACTGCTGGGCTTACCCATGGTATTCTTGATTCAGTAGGTCTGGGGTGTGATCAGAGAGTTTGAGTTTTAGGTAACTTATAAGAGGTTACTGCTGGTTCCCGAACCATACTTTGAGAATCTCTGATTTAGACCAATGTTCGTAAAAGATTATATGTTTAGGTTGTACAAGGATGGGCAATTTTTAAAAATGTAATTGAAAAAGCATAAAAATAGAAGTCCAGGGTGTAAAGTTGCCACTATAGCTTCTTGTGGTATGTGATGGGTGAAAAGAGTGCTAGGAAATGCATCCTCTTTTGTTCGTACAATCACAGCACCGTGGGAAGGCTTCTGTGCCCCACACTTGGTTTTCAGGGTCTAGGAGCTCAAGGAACAAGATACAGACCCAATGTCCTGGGTCCCAGGCAGCCCTAGTTTGAGACAGTTTCCTTCCTCACCCCAGCCTTACAACGAGTAGGTGATCAGGAAATGAGACCTTACTACAGGGGTTCACAATGTGTGGCTGTGAATACTTTTAGGGTGCATGAAGTCAAAACTATTTTTATACTAACGTTTAGACATTAATTGCTCTTTGAAATTTTATTATCCCAAGAGTGTCCAGAGCCCAGGGGCTACATGACATGTAATACCGCAAAAGAGTGGAGAAGCACATGTGAGAATCCAGATGTGAGAATGTCTGGCTTCTATTAAGGAGGATGTTAATGGGATTTGTAAACATGTAATCAAAGCCACCCTTTTATTTATTTTATGGTTTTGGAAGGTATACTTTTTTCATAGAAATATTACTTTACCAATTATGGTTTTATAATTGTTAAATTATTCATAAATGTATATTTAATTATTTTCAGTTTTAATTTCTAATACAGCATATCTTGAAATTAAAAAACCCACATCAACAAAAGCTTGTGGAGACCCTCAATTATTTTATCAGCTTAATTGAGGTGCAATTTACAAACCATAAAATTTACTTACTGTGTATGGCTTAATGTCTTTAATAAATTGCTAATAAATTCATTTTATGCTCAACCACCCTATCCACTTTTAGAACACTTTCACTCTTCCAAAAAATATCTTTCCTCACCTTTCACAGTCAGACTCTACTCACATCCCTGTCTTCGAGCAACCACTGCTCTATGTTTTGTCTGGAGGATTTTTGTTTTTGTTGTTGTTATTTTCCTGGTTGCTTTCTAAAGAAGGGTTTAGCTATGTTTGCCCATGATGAAATGCAGTGGTAGTATCACACCTCGCTGTAGCCTCAACCTCCTGGGCTCAAGCAATCTTTTCTCCTCATCTTTCTGCATAGCTTGTCCTACAGGTAAACACTACCACACCCAGCCAGTTTTTAATGTCTTGTAGAGACAGACAGGGTCTCACTCTGTTTCCCAAGCTGGTCTCACACTCCTGGGCTTAAGTGATCCTCCTATCTTGGCCTCCTGAATTCCTGGGATTACAGGTGTGAGGCACCCCACCTGAAGTGTGTATAGGGTTTTGAATTTTAATGAATATTACATATGTAATCATTCAAAATATAATCTTTTGGGTCATTTAATATGTTTTTGAGATTCATCATGATTTTTTGTGTATATATGATTTGTTATTTTATTTTTTAGTTTTTATATTTTATAATTTCAACTTTTATTTCAGATTCAGGGAGTAAATGGGCAACTTCTTTACATGTATATATTGCATGATGCTGAGGTTTTGGGTCGGAGTGATTTCATCACACAGACAGTGAGCCTAGTTTCCAACAGATAGTTTTTCAGCCCATGACTTCCTTTCTTGTTCTCCCCCATGTAGTCTCCAGTCTTTATTATTTCCATATTTATGTCTATATGTACCAATGCTTAGATGTTACTTATAAGTAAAAACGTGGTGTTTGGTTTTCTGTTCCTGTGTTAATTCGCTTAGGACAGTGGCCTCCAGCTGCATTCGTGTTACTGCCAAGGACATAATTTGGCTCTTTGTGGCTGCATAATACTCTGTGCTGTATGTGTGCCACATTTTCTTTAACCAGTTCATCGTTGATGGACAAATAGGTGGATTCTCTGTGTTTGCTGTTGTGAATAGTACTGTGAAAAACATACACGTGCATGATCTTTCTGATAGAATGATTTATTTTCTTCTGGGTATATACTCAGTAATGGGATGGGTGGGTCAAATGGTAACTCTGTTTTAAGTTATCTAAGAAATCTCCAAACTGCTTTTCACAGTTACTGGACTAACCTACATTCCCATCAACAGTGTGAAAGTGTTCCCTTTTCTCCACAGCCTCACCAGCATCTGTTATTATGAAATGTTTTATTAATAGTCATTCTAACTTGTGTGAGACAGTATCTCATTGTGGTTTTGGTTTGCATTTCTCTGATGATTAGTGATTATGAGCATTTTTTCCTGTGTTTATTGGCCATTTGTATGTCTTATTTTGAGAAGTGTCTGTTTATATCCTTTGCCCTTTTTCTCTTCCTTTTTAAAATTATGCTTTAAGTTCTGGGATACATGTGCAGAAAGTACAGGTTTGTTACATAGGTATACAAGTGTCATGGTGGTTTGCTGCGCCGATCAACCCATCAGCTACATTAGGTACTTCTAATGCTGTCTCTCCCCTTGCCCCCACCCTCTGACAGGTCCCGGTGTGTGATGATCCCCTCCCAGAATGAACTTCGTTCAACCTTATCACAGTCCATGTTAACAAATTCTCAAAGAAAGATCAAAAGAGATACAACTATTTCTAAAAATCTTAACAGTGCTCTGAAATAGCATTCAAAAATATTGTTAGAAAACAAAAATATACAATGTCAGTTTAAAAATTTACTATGTCTATAATAAAATTAAAAAATACCAAGAATGCAAATAAATAGCAAAATAATACTTATAAAAACAAAAAAGTAATCAATAAAAAATGAACCAGAACTGAAACAACTTTTAGAATTAGCAAAGATATTACAACATTTAAAATAACCATATTTTATATATTCATATAAGGTAAGTAAATATATGATAGACAAAGACAGACAAATTTGTATAATAGAGATAAAATAATACAACCACTGAAATCAGAACTATATTATCTGGGATTAGCAGCAGATCAGACTTGCATCAGATTAGATTAGCAATCCTGAAGACAATGCATTTAAAACTCCAAAATGAGAGCGAAGGGAGAATTTTAGCCTATGATCGATGTATAAGTCAGACATAGATGACTCCAAGTGGCCCAATATGTGTGTAATTTAATTACTCAAAGGTTAAAAAAAGTCAATACAGAAAAAAAAAGTTTAAATAGTAATGGTCAAAAATTGTACAGATTTTTAAAAATTTACATATCCAAGAAGTTTGATGAACCCAAAAGGAGGAAAGAAATTAAACCTATGGCAATATCCATCATAATCTAATAGTTCAAAATCAGTGACAAAGAGCAAATCAACAAAGAACAACAACAAAAATAAAGATAAGAAAAAGGAAAAAAAGAAAGGAAGCAGAAGGCCAAAAGGCAGAAAGGCAGAAAGAGAGACAGAGAGAGAGAGAGAGAGAAAGAGAAAGAAATAGAAAGGAAGGAAGAAAGCAAGAAAGAGAAAGAAAGGCAGGGAGGGAGGGAGCAAGGGAGAGAAGGACGAAGGGAGAAAGGGAGAGAGAGAGAAGAAAATGCAACAGGCTCAAGGGAGAGAAAGAGAAAGAAAGGAAAGAAGAATGGAAGAAAGAGAGAAGAATGAAAGGGAGAAAGAAGTAATGATCAGCAAAAGAGAGAAAAATATGTCCATCAATTTCTTACCAGGAAGAGTACAAGTGACTAAAAGTTGAAAATATATTTGAAATAATAATAAAAAATTGTGAATCTAGAATTATATACTCAAAAAAATCTTTCCAAAACAACACTTTCTTCTAAGAAAAATAAAGTCCTTTTTCAGGCATACAAAAACTAAAAACGTCAACCTTCTGGAGACTCATATTACAATAGTTATACACACACACACACAGAAGAGCACCAGAAGTTGTTATATAGGCAAATATTTAATATTTTTAATTACATGAAACTTTCTAAAAGTAAGCATTAGTTTCCATGTCTATTATTAGTACTCGTAGCATCCAAATTGCCAATATATAA